CCCTCAACATGCCGGATAAAACAGCTTTTACTGTACTACATCAACATTGACTCTAAGCCTCTCATGGAGGTGGAGTTATTAAGTCAGTGTAGTGGAGTAGTTATGCCAGTGGGAGCGAAATTTACACATAAGCTGCCTTGCATCAACTTGACTCCGTGGGCGGGCTTTGCCCGCCCACTTCCTGGATCCCAATAGGATCAGCTTGAATCCGTAGCACAGACCAGGCCTTAGAGCTTGTCTACATCAGTGCAGCTGTGCCGCCGTATCACTTAGAGAAGATGCTATCTAAGCCAATGGGAGAGCTTCTCCCATCAGCACAGGTACTCCACCGCCCTGAGAGGCAGTAGCTATGTTGACAGGAGAAGTCCTCCTGATGACATAGCACTGTCTATACTGAGGGTTATGTCGATATAACCATGTCACTCAGGGATGTGGACTTTCCACATCCCTGAGTGACGTAGTTATACCAACATACATTTGTAGGGTAGACCAAGTCTAAGACTTGAAGTGAAACAAAGCACCAGAACAGGACAATTTTACTTTGTTTAGACTCAGAAAAGGACAGAAGAAACTGAGTAGCTACCTAAGCACAGGAAAAGAACTGGAGGTGAGGCTACCTGTGGCACAGTTGCACCGGTACAGCTACACAGTTCTAGTGCATCTGTTGAAGACGCTCTATACTGATGGGAGAGAGCTCTCGTCTAGGCATAAAAAAAAAACCCACCTCCGTAAGCGGCATAAGCTATATTGGTGGAAGAAGGAGCGTAGGATGGACGTGCAAATGCAATTTAATTACTGCAGCAGCTGTATGCTGACGTAACTTAGGTCGAAATAATTTTGTAGTGTAGACATGCCCAAGGCGTAGGGAGAAGCTCTCTCGCTGTGCACATGAATGCTTATGTCAGTGTAGCCTACGTCGCTCAGGGGGGTGGAATGTTCACACCCCTGAGCAACATACATTTTGCTGACATAGGCTATTTCTACAGTTCAGCCTAAGTTTAAAACAACCAACATACAGGAAGTTGAGTGCATTCCATATATTTTCCCCACCCTTGCATGCATGGCATGACTTATGGAAGGTAGGGTTTTTCTGTTCTGTTTTGTTTTTTAATTTTGTAGCAGCTAAAGGAAGGGAAGACAATTTCTGCTCTCAGTCACATCACTGTAAATCCAGGTAACTCCACTGATTTCAATGGATTTATTTCCAATTTACACTGATGTAACTGAGCAGTACTTGGCAGAGAGATTCTCAGTCTCTACATTTGGTTCAGCTTTTCCATATGTAAAAGTTATCAAGCAAAACTGGAGAGGCTGACACAATTATTAGGAAATTGCCATGATAAAACTTTTTTACTTATAACCTTAGAAATGGCATTTTGACTCCCAGGGTTTTCAATGCCATAGGTAGAGAAAGTAAACATTCAGTTTCCCTTAAATATGAGAAAATCTGGGTCCCTAATGTGCTCCCCTCCCCTCCCACACACACACACACGTCATCCCCTGCACCAGGTAAAAGGCCAACTTTACTACAGGCATGAAACTGGTGCAACAGGTTTTCAATAATGAGCATACAAAGTAGGATTGACATTCACTGCTGGCATGCAATTTAAAACTGACAATTCTCATAGTTAAGCAAACAGCCTGTACCGTCCCTCCCTTAAGTAACTGATAAAAAATAAAGAACACAAATCCACCCATTGCAATGGTGGTTTTGAACACTGCAACTAAATCAGGTTTTCTAATTCAACGCATCCAGTACTGGTCTCACTTGCACCTATTTTACACAGTTGTTACTCCATTCACTTTGGTGGACCTGCTCTGGATTTGCACCCTCACAACTGAAAACAAAATCAATCCCCCTGATTTGGAGGCCATATGATATGTGTTTCTGTCTCAAAAGTGCATTTCCTGTTTTATTTTCCTGTATTAATATTAATAAATTGCCTTGGGTAATGACAATATAGATTATGAATGAATACCAAGGACAGTCAGGAAGCTAAAAGCTCCTTTAAGTATGGTAATCTTTTATTTATTCAAGATCAACTTGAAAGTGATGAGTTTTAAGAATACTCACTATATGTAACATTATGATTAGGCCACTTTGTCCAGGTTTCCCATTCTCTTCGTAAGATAAGTGCACACACACACACACACACACACACACCAGTTTTTTTCCATAAGTAGAGGCCTAATCAATAACTCATGGCATTATTAAAAAAACAAATTATTTATTCCATATAATAAAAATGAGAGAAATGCATAATGTTACACTATGGTTATGTTACATCGGGTTGGGCAAACTTTTTGGCTTGAGGGCCACATCTGGGTGGGGAAATTGTATGCAGGGCCATGAGTGTATGGCTGGGCCAGGGGTGCGGGAGAGAGTGCAGGGTGTAGGAGAGGGTGCGGTGTGCAGGAAGAGGCTTAGGGCAGCGGGTTGGGGTGCAGGAGGGGTGAGGCAGGGGCTCAAGGCATGGGCTTGGGGTGCAGGAGGGGTGCAGGCTCCAGCCCGACACCGCTTACCTTGAACCCTTCCGGGGTGACAGCAGCGCGCAGCAACGCTAAGGCAGGCTCCCTGCCTGCCCTGGCACCGCGCCACTCCCGGAAGTGGCCAGCATGTCCAGCAGTGGCTCCTGGCGGTGGGGTGGGGCAGGCAGCTTCGCCATACGCTGCCCTCGCCTGCGGGTACCACCCCCGGAGCTCCCATTGGCTGTGGTTCCCCGTTCCATAGGAGCTGTGGGGGGCAGTGCCTGCAGGCAAGGGCAGCGCACGGAGCCCTCTGCCCCCCCAACCCGCCCAGGGGCTGCAGGGATGTGGTGCCAGCCGCTTCTGGGAGCGGCGCAGGGCCAGGGCAGGCAGGGAGCCCTATTGAAAGCCCTGACAGGCCGGATCCAGCCCGCGAGCTGTAGTTTGCCCTCCCCTGTGTTACACAGAAGTCTGAGATACACTGTGTATGTGACACTGGATAGAGTTATCCATCTTCCTAAACTAATCTCAGGTTTGATAACAAAATTTGGAAAGTCAATACAAATTGAAGATAACTAAAACAAATGCAAACTTTTAAGATTAGCTATCCTAGTAAGGCCAATCTCACCAGCTTTGGCTAACAAGGAGATCTAATTAAAAGTCACACACATTGGACCAAATGTTGCCTTCTCAGAATAAAATCACTTTACCATAAGAAGATTCTTATCCATAAAATTACGTATGATAAGCCATTTCACAATATACCCCTAGCCAACTGGTGTAACTCAGCATAGCTCTATGAAACTCAGTGCAGCTAGGGTGATTTTCACCAGCTAAGAATCTGGCCCATGGTATTTCTGTAATATAGTCAGATTTTTATATTCATAAATGAAATTATGTCACTGACAGTAAAGCGCATGCAAGTGCAATGGGTCAACAAGAACATCATAACACAGTGAAGTATGAATGTTTTGGGGTTGTGTGTGTGTGGAGTCATGGAATGTGTCCTATAAACATATAAACTAAAAAAAGTATTTTAACTCTCCATTGGCCAGGCCCATGTCCATCATTTCTACTTGCATCTCCTCTTCAGTAGCCAGTGCTAATGTTACACCCCACTGACACGGAGGCTGACGGGTGAGGGTACTAAAACTTTTCTTATCTGCTGCCCAAGAGGAACTTACACTGCCATGACTCAGATCATGCAAGCAGAGAGATGCAAATTGTACAGCTAGGGCCAAAATCAGCAAATCATTCTCTTTATTATGCTGGGCCTGGAATGTGCTATCAGGTATCATGCAACAAGGGGTGGCGAGATACCAGAGATGACACACTGTGAGCAAGACCAAGCCCAAGTGCCCACAGAATTACCAACTGCCAAGCTATTAATAAAATTTTGACTCAGGACATTTAATCTATTTACAGCCTTACAGAAAGCCTATACATGATAGTTCCTACAATAAAAACTGTATACTAAGGAATTAAAAACACAGGCCTCAGTCCTGAATTAGATGCACACAAATGTACCATTATGACAGCACAGAGTCCCACTGAAATGCAGATCCATTTCAAAAACTGGGGTTATAAAGAGCTAATGACTCGAGCAGTCCTGGCATTTTATTTAAAAAATTGTCTGGCCTAAGATATCTAAATTAGACATATTAAAAGGAAAAAAAATGTTTCCCACCAGAACCCTGACAAAAAGGTTTGCATATTTTAGGCCTGTCTCTCCTTTCACCTAGACTACTGTAACTCCACTGACTTCAAATGAGTTACTCCTGATTTACACTAACACATATTGGAGGAGGATCTAGCCCTTCTTTTACAAGATATATCTAAATGTAGCAAAATGACTTTAGAAGCGTAGCTCCATTTTGGTTATAAGGCCGGCTTCTTCTAATGGGTTCGGCCTTGTACCCCTCCGCAGGGCAGAAGGGATCTGAAATGGGCAACAGAGCAAACAAATAAAAAAACAGCTGGGGAGTAATCGTAATATTCAGGGAAAGACAAAGAGCTTTGCAGCAGCTGGCTTTAAAGGCAGAGGGAAGGAGGGAGATGCCTGTGTACCTGGGTGCACAGAGTTTGAACTGCTGACCAGAACGGTCAGGATGGGCATTGTGGGACACCTCCTGGAGGCCACTTACAGCATCGAAACCAAGCGTGGTGTCTCCACTGACACTTTGTCCATCTAACTTTACCGCAAAAAAAGCTCTACGCCTCTTGTCGAGATGGTTTTATTTTGTTGGCAAAGCAGGAGAGTTTTGCCGGCGGGAAGAGCCTTGCAGTGTGTACACCTCCATCCATTGTTTTGTTGACAAAAGTTGCCTTTTGCCAACAAAACTCTGTAGTGTAGACAGTCTCCTGGGCGGGCTGGGCCCCATTCCGCACACTGGCCAGAGGCGAGTGGTCCCTGGGGACATCCCACTCACTACTACAGAGGCCAGTGCCTGCTCACTGCCTCCAAGCCCAGAGTTTTTTCACAGGAGACACCTCTTCTCACACACATTCCGGCCCCAGCCCCACCCAGCCCCTACCTCTTCTGCATCTTTGCCCAGGGGGATGCCCAGGGCTTTAAGGCCCGCATGGAGCTCGGCGATGTCCACTCTCCCGTCTTCATTGAGGTCCAGCTTCTTGAAGAGGTTCTCGTACCTGGAGCTGTTGTTGGCTTCTTCGCAGGCAGCCTCGGGGAGCACCAAGCCCCGCAGGAAGCGAAACATGGTGCCGCCAGGGACGGGCGGAGCGGCGGGAAGCGGGCCGGAGACGCAGGCAGTCAGGGGGGAGCGGGGAAGGAGAGACCAGAGCCTGGGCAAGCCCGGCAGGAGCAGCCAGTGAGTGCAGCGGGAAGGGGAAGGGCGGCTCCCTGGGCCTGCCTCGCCACGGGCTGGGCGGGGCGTTACTCCCCTCCCTGAGCAACGGAGCCGGCTGCTGGGCTGGGCCAGGCGAGCCAAGGAAGCCGCCGCGATGACGGGTGTGCGTGGAGGATGGGAGAGCTGCGGCGGGCGGGCAGGCGGGGTTGCTCAAGGAGGGGCGGGACCAGCCTGTGCAGTGTCAGCTCCTCTCGCTTCACGCGGCTCCTGGCGGCGGCAATGGCGGAGCAGGGTGCGGCGGCTGGGATGAGTTACACGGGACGGCTGGAGAAGAAGGATCGATACGGGAAAGCTGCGCTGGAAACAGAGAGTTCTTAACATCACCTGTAGGCAGTACAGGCCAGGGACCCCCAGGTAACGGAAGCTCCCCGTTCACTGAAACCCAACTACAGCCCCCTGTACCAGTGCGTGCAGCGGGTCAGTGCTTAGCAAGGTGGGACCCTGCAGATACTCTGTTTATTTCAAACTGTATTCATCCACATTTTCTGCTGTCCTTGGTCTTTCCATTTATGGTGACTATTGTCTCTCTTTTCTTCTGCATGGAGAGGAAGGATGGTCCAGTGGTTGGGGTGCCTTGGGACTCAGTAGACTAGCGTTTAATTCCCTGCACACTTCTCTGATCTTAGGTTAGTCTTGTTCCTCAGTCCCCTCAGAGTTCGAACTGCTGACCAGAACGGTCAGGATGGGCATTGTTTGTGGGACACCTCCTGGAGGCCACTTAGAGCATCTCCATTGGAAAATGGAGATTATACTTCACACGGTGTTGTGAAGAGAATACATTAAAGACTGTGAGGCACTCGGATATTGTGGCAATAGAGCACATATAGTAAGATTCATAGGCTTTTATATACTACACACACCAACACTGAATCTGGGCATTTATGTGATACTAATTTCAGAATAAATATTATAAAACACAACGGGAAGTGGTTAAAGGGAAACTGCCAGGTTGAAGTTCACATTTTAAAAAACCCTGTGATTATGCTACTAATGCTTTACATTACAAAACTAAAAATAATTTGCTATATCCAATTTACTTTTACTTTTTGCACTTTATGTAACTTTGACAATTAAGATAGTTTCATTTTGTTTGTAGTCTGTTCACTTTCAGAGTCTCATGCAACAGCAATCCTGCAATAGTTGCAAAAACTGTAAG